CAGGTTGCCCAGAGAAGCTGTGGCTGCCCCTGGATCCCTGGAATTGTCCAAGGCCAGGTTGGAGCAACCTCTCCAGTGCCTCCTGCTCTCCTCCCCAGTTCCTCCTGCTCTCCTCCCCAGTTCCTCCTGCTCTCCTCTCCTCCCCAGTTCCCCCTGCTCTCCCCGTGCCTGGCACTGGCACAGCAGATGGGCTGCGAGGAGGGGGCTGGCACAGCCCGTGTGTGCCACGCTCCGTCTTTCAAGTTTCATTAGTTGGAGGCTGCTCAAGACCCAGCTCTGCTGGCAGCTCCTGCTGATGGCACAGGACAGGAGCTCCTGGGAAGGGCTGAGATCCTCCCTGAGCAGCCCCGTGGGACGGCCCTGCCCTGCCTGGCCCGCCGTGTTTAACACGTGTTCTCAGCTCTGTTAAACTGCAGCTTGGGAGGCTTTGGCTTAAAATAGCCTGTAATGGAAATCAGTGTTTGTCATGTAAAGCCTGGAGCTCCTTGACTAAAGCATCTGAAATGCAGCTCTGCTACACGTTGTAAAGTTAACAGGCTTTGCTTTGTGCTCTTCCAAATAATGCTGAGCTGATGCTCGGAGCTGCCCTGTGCTCCTCCACTTAATTCCTTCTTCCCTTTTACCTTCCAGACCATGTTCTCTTTAGATCCTCCCCCTTCAGTTGCTCTGATACCTCCTCAGAAAATTCAGGCTGTAAAAAAGGAGAGGACCTGTAGCAGGAGATGCAGTGCAGGAGCAGGGATTGTCACTGCTGGATTTCTGGACGAGGGGTTTAAGTTTTTACCACATAAATTTCCTTAAGAAATCAGAGCAAGCAAAGACATGTAAGGCAGGTGTGTGGGATGCTCCAATCCTTTTACTGTCAGATTTCTGTGAAATGCAGTATTTGTGCTCCCAAGCCCTGTTGTCCCAACCCCTGGGGGTGGTTCTCTGGCTCAGGAAGGTGCTGAGATCTGTGTGAGCTGGAAACCAACCCCTCCCCACGGGTCTGAAACCCTTCCCAGCCACTGAATTTTCCTGGGGCTTTGTCCTCCTCCTGGACTGGCTACAGGCACGGGAGGAAAGTTGCAGGAAAAGCCTCAGAGGATCCTAGTCAGGGATAAGGGATGGTTGGACATCAGGAGGGATTTCTCTGTGGAAAGGGTGGTCAGGAATTGGAACTGCCCAGGGAGGTTTGGGGTCCCCATCCCTGGAGGTGTCCCAGGAAGGGGCACAGGGTGGATCCATGGGCTGGGAGGGCTTTTCCAACCTCAGTGCTCTGGGCTGGGGGACAAGGTGGGCATCGGGCACCGGGTGGGTTTGATGATCTAGGAGGGCTTTTCCAACCTCAGTGACTCTGGGATGGAACAGAAAATTCCTGGGCAAGAACAAGTGGGGGAAACAGTGTCCTGAGAGGGGAATGTGCTGTTCTCCTGGAGAACAGGCCCCCAGGAGAGGGGGGAGCAGCTCTGTCCCTTGGGGGGGTTTAAAATGGGAATAAAGCAAATGTATGGTGGAGAAGGAGCTGGGATGTGCCAGGAAAACCTGGCTGGGCCTGGAGGATCCCCCAGGATGGGGGCTCAAAACACACCTGGGCAACCCCAGCCCTACAACGACTTCATCACTGTGTGGTGGGTCCAGCCCAGCTCTGGGGGGCTCCTGGAGCCGCTCCAGGGGCTCCATCTGGGCAAGGTGCCCTTGGATTTCCGTGGGAACTGGGATCTCCGCTGGAGATGGGCTCAGCTCTGCTGCAGTCACTTGCCTTTGAGCTGGGGCTGGGGTTTGTTGCTCTGGGGGTTCCCAGCCCTGACCACTGTGTCCCCTTGCAGCTGATGATGCCTGTGGGGGGACCCTGCGGGGCCAGAGCGGGATCATCTCCAGCCCCCACTTCCCCCTGGAGTATGGCAACAACGCCGACTGCACCTGGACCATCCTGGCCGAGCCCGGCGACACCATCGCCCTGGTGTTCATGGACTTCCAGCTGGAAGATGGATATGATGTTCTGGAAGTGGCTGGGACAGAGGGATCCTCGCTCTGGTAGGTGACTCCTGGCCTTTCTTCCTCGGAGCCCCCGTTGTTGTGGTGTGTGCCCAGAGGGGAGGGGAGGAAGGGGGGCAATTCCCAGTTATTGCCATATTGTTATCATGGAACTCCCTGGGATGCTTTTGGTTTGCTTGGTGAACTCTGGAGGGACTGTTGGCTCCTTTAAATCCTGTTCTCTGCAAGGAGGTTTCGTGGCAGAATTAAAACCCAACCAACCCAAACACCCAGCACGTGGACAGCCCCCTCAAACCTTGTGATGTTCAAGCCTGGCTTTTGCTGCATTTTTTTTCTGATTGCTGCTAAATCTGCTGCTTTACTGCTAATGAACCAGTGGCAAGTGTTTCACCAGATCACTTTGTCTGTGGATAGAATTCCAGTCCCCCTCTCATCCCAGGGGCTGGGTGAGCAGTGCTCTCAGAAATATTGCATTTATTCAGAATAAAGGCCATGGGGATGTTTTCCAATATACAAGAGCTACCCCAGTGAGCAGGGCCAGGAGGTTGGGAGGGAGAAGGAATTGCAGGAGGAATTTGGGAGGGAATTGCAGGAGGAATTTGGGAAGGAATTGCAGGAGGAATTTGGGAAGGAATTGCAGGAGGAATTTGGGAAGGAATTGCAGGAGGAATTTGGGGAGGAATTGCAAGAGGAATTTGGGAAGGAATTGCAGGAGGAATTTGGGAGGGAATTGCAGGAGGAATTTGGGAGGGAATTGCAGGAGGAATTTGGGAAGGAATTGCAGGAGGAATTTGGCGTGTTCCTGGTGTTGTTTTTATGGCAAAGGACGACTGTGTTGACCCAAACACAGTGATCAACTCAGCAAATGGTTAAAACCCCTGACCAGCAGCAAGTGGAAGGTCTGGGATGTTTGATCCCTTCCCTGGAAGGGAAGAATTAAGTGTTTGCAATATTGAAGTGTTGCCTGGGATTATCAGCAGGAGGGGAAATTGTGATTATTTATGAGGGTTCTGTCACAAATCCCGTTCACTGGAGTAATTTCCCCTTGCTGGCAGTTCTGGGGGAAGGGGATTTGAATGTTGAGGAGGGATTGATGTGAGAGAAGTTGCCATTTCCCCGTGGACCAATTGTTTACCATTCCCAGGACTCTTTGGAAAATTAGATGTTGCTGTCTCATGAAGTAAAAAAAAACCCTCCCTGGTTTGATTAGATGCTAAAAACTGTTAGTTTTTAGCCATTCTGGGCTGCAGTGAGGATCAGTCACCTGTGGGGTGTGGGAAAAGATGGATGGAGCTGGTTAAGAAACATTATTCAAGCCCGGAGGTGTTGCCAGTGCAAGGCTGTGTCTTGTCACATCAGAAAAGCAAACAAAGCCTGTCAGAGTGAGCCTGCTGGGGAAAATAAATAAATAAATTAATAAACCACCCCTAAGTGCAGCGGGGAAGAACTTTTTTTTTTATAAAAATGGCCCTGAGTGAAACTCTGCCCGTCCCCAGCAGCACTTCCACCCAGGGCTGGGGGGGAGAAGGAGCTGCTCCTGCCTTTGGAGGTCCATCTCTCATTTTTGTGGTGCCCCAGGGGTGACATCAACCCCCCAGTCCAATCCACTGAACGTTCCTGAAGGAAACTTGGCGGTCCCACAAGCGGAATTACGGAGAGCCTGATTTGGAATCTCATTTTTCAGAGCCTGATAATTAAATTCAGATGACTCATTTCTCAAATAATTTTTTTTTTTTTGCCCTTAGGGGAAAAATAAAAAAAAAAAACCCCAAACCTGGCACTCCTATCTCCTCTTTAAACATGTTGATATGATTCAGCATGAAAATAGAGCTGAAAACCTTTTTTTTTCTCCCCCCCTTCTGTCTGTGAAAACCTGGTTTTAATTATTGGTGATCTGGCAGATAGACTTGCAGCCAAATCAACCCCCCCTGTTGAAGTATCTCCCAGCCAAATATTTCATTTCCTAAGCATTAGGAGCAGTTTTAGTCGTGTCCAGAGCTGTGCACAAATAAACAGAATTAAATTTCATCTGGGGGATAATTCCTATGTACTTCCAAGCTATGGAATGTGATCTAATGGTGGCATTTATGAGACCATTAACTCAGCACTTCCAGTAACCTTGACTTGACCTGCACTTATAAAAATCTGCATTATCATTATTATTCATCCTCCCCTCTTTAAAAATGGATGTTTTGTGGGGGTTTTTTTATGAGCCAGGTTGATTTAAGTGCCTTCAGTGCCACGTGTTGATTCCCCCTCCCTGGAGAATCCTCGTGTGAGCCTCTCTGGCTCCCCAACCTGTTGGATGGGAATCCTGCAGTGAGCATTCCAAGGGAAAGGAGGTTGCAGGTCTGAGCAGAGCAGTGGAGGCTGATGGGGCTGCTCGAGCCATATTAATAAAATAACACATTTACAGCTCTTTTAACTGCTCCCTCAGCTTCTGTCAGGGGGCTTTGGGGCTGGATTGCCTTGACAGGTGAGAAAGGAAATTCTGCTGCTGAGGAGAGAAGAGGAGGGGGAGGAAGGAGCAGGGTGAGGATGAGCCTGTCAGGTTGGGAAGGGCCAGGAGGGGGGGCCAGGCTGGAAGGAAAAATTGGAAGGATGGCAGGGTCTGACCATCCCAGTGCCCAGCCTGGATGGGGTCCTCATCCTGACCATCCCTGGATGAGTTTTAAGGTCCCTTCCACCCAGCCCAGTGTGGGATCCTCTCACATCCTCACCCCCAGACTCTTCATTATCTTCAAGACTCGGGGTTCTCTTCCCCAGCACTTTGTCCTGGCTGAGAGATCTGAAAGGATCAAGGACATTTTCCCCTCTAAACATGTGAAAAAGGAGAAAATCCCCCAAAAAGCAGCTTGGGCTGGAGGCCTGAGCTGTGCTCAGCTTTGTGCCAGCTCAGCTCAGAGCTTGGCAAATCCCTCAGGAATATTTGCCCCTTAGGGCTGCTTGGGGCACCTGCCTGAAGCTCCCCCTTCCCTGCTTAATGCCAAAATATTTCAAACTGAGCCTCTAAACCATCCCCAGCCCCTGTTTGAGGACGTGCAGCCCCCCCAGGCTGGTCCTGGTGGCACTGATCCTGCCCTGGGGCACTGATCCTGCCCTGGGGCACACCTGTGCCAGCCTGCTCTGCCCTCAGGGGCTGCTCTGAAGCTTTGGGGAGGTTTGACTTGATTTAAAGCACTGCCTTTGATCTCCTGCTTGTTCTCCTGTGAGCCCTGAGATCAGTTGCTGGGGGATGTCTGGGGTGATGGGATGGAAAACTCCCTTGGGGGTGGCAGGAATCTGAGTCCTGCAGCTCAGCAGGGGTGGCTGCAGCTCTGGGTCCCTCCTGATCCCTGCATCCCACCTGGATCCCTCTGTCCCACCTGGATCCCTGGATCCCTCCTGATCCCTGTGTCCCACCTGATCCCTCTGTCCCACCTGGATGCCTCTGTCCCTCCTGATCCCTGTGTCCCACCTAGATCCCTGTGTCCCTCCTGACCCCTGTGTCCCTCTTGACCCCTCTCCCACCTGATCCCTGTGTCCCACCTAACCCCTCTGTCCCACCTGGATCTCTCTGTCCCTCCTGATCCCTGTGTCCCACCTGACCCCTCTCCCACCTGATCCCTGTGTCCTACCTGGATTCCTCTGTTCCACCTGATCCCTGCATCCCTCCTGATCCCTCTCCCACCTGGATTCCTCTGTCCCACCTCACCCCTGTGTCCCACCTGGATCTCTCTGTCCCTCCTGACCCCTCTGCCCCTGCTGACCCCTCTCCCACCTCCCCATGGATGTGTCCCCTCAAGGACTGGGGGGATCAGGGCTGTGCTGGGCAGCCCCTGCTTGGCTCAGAGTGACTTTAGGGGAGGTTTTTGCTTTGCCTGTGGAGGAGGAGGAGCTCTGGGTTCCCTTTGTGCAGTCTGAACAGTGACAATGTGGTTTTGTGTCTGCTGCACTTGTGCCTGTCAGCTGCTGAGATCTCCTCCAGCTCATCTGGGCTCTGTGTCTGATCTCAGACACAATACTGGTGCTGCTGCCAGCCGAGGTGGTGCTGCAGGAAATGACTAATAATCCAATTTTCGGCGTGTTTACAGCCACTCACTCAGCTCAGGTGTGTGTTTTGCTGGGTACAACCAGGTGGTTCAGCAGGGAAGGTTCCTCCAGCCCATTCCACTGTAGCTGGAGGTAAAAGGTGTTTGTGCAGAGCCAAATTTCCTCCAGGGCAGAGAATTTCAGTTTAATGTTTGCCATAGAAAGTTTGTTTTGTGCTGCTGGGTTGGAGAACAGGAGGGAGGGAGGGGAGGCAGTGCCAGCTCCTGCCTGCCCTGCTGAGCCAGGTGAGCAGCTGCCACAACCTCCTCCCCCAGAACAGCATTTGGCTGTTTTGTTCCACCAGTGGAAGCGTTTTAGAAGCCTCTGCTCCTGCCAAATGAACGAGTTCCACGAGCTCAGACTAACGAGCTCCTGCTCTGCCTGCCCGGGACAGAGTTTGGCTGGCGAGGTTTGGAAGGTTCCTGAGCTGTTTCTAATTCTGAGATGAGAAAATTCTCTCTGAGATGTGGATGGTTTCTTTAATTATGAGGCTTTTTAGATCTTTCAGAGCTCGTGTTGTGTTTTGCAGCTGCCTGTGGTGGATGATGAGGATCCAATTTGTGGGAGGGACTGGGATTTCAGCTGGGAAGGTGCTGCTGTCGTGGGATTCAGGTCAAAAATGCTCAGAGGCCCTTTGGGTTGTGTGTTTTGGAGGGGTTGCATCACCTCTCACATTACCCCAACTGCCCTCCCACTCTCTGAGTCTTCCCTTGTCATTCCCCCCTGGGAACCATTTCCTTTTCCCTTGATTTGGTGTCAATAATCCCATCCTGAGGGAATGCAGGGGGGCTGCAGGTGGGGAGCTGCCAAATCCATGGAGTTTATTCCTGTCTGGGTTCAGTTCCTCCCCTTCAGTGTCTCACCTCCATTTTGCCTTTCCAGCCTTGGAGCTCTGTTTTCCTCCCTTGCACAAACACTTTCTTTTCCTCCCCCTGAGGGCTATTTTCCCACTTGATTTGTGTGGAATT